TTTTTTTTTCTTGTATATCGGCGGAGAGAAGGAAAGGGAGCAAGGGACAGACAGACAAGATGGCGGCGGCCGAGTGAAGCGCCAGTTGGTGGCGGCGGACGGACGGACTCGCTCGGCCTTTCTTTTCCCTCCCTCCCTCCCTCCCCTGACCCGAGAGCGCCTGTTCCTGAGAAGGGGAAAAGCGCGCTGACAGCCGGGAAAGTGCGTGGGACGTCCACCATCCAGAGAGGCCTAGCGCGAGCAAAGCCGCCCGGACCAAAGCCCTTCCCTCTTCGCCCTCCCCTGTCCCGTCCCTGGCCGTGGTCGAGCAGGAGCTCCCCGAAGAAGAACTCGCGGGCTCTCAGCGTAGGAATAACCCCCTTCCCCCGTCCCCTCCGTCGCCATGGCAAGCAGCAGCGGCTCCAAGGCCGAGTTCATTGTCGGGAACAAATACAAGCTGGTGCGGAAGATTGGTTCGGGCTCCTTCGGGGACATATACTTGGCCATCAATATCACCAATGGGGAGGTAAGGGCCGGCGGGTGCCCGGGCCTTTCCTTTTCCCTCCTTCGACGTCCGCTGCCTCGCCAGTAGATAGAGGTCGCGTTCACTCAGACGGGCTCTCACGTGTGCGCCGGATCCGGCCGGGTGTCCGTTGCATGGGAAGGGTGGGGGGAGCTGTTCCTCTCAAGTGGAGGCGCTCAGAGTTATTCCAGGTCGCATTTTATTTTGAGGTCTGATCACCTTCCTTTCTGTAATTAGGCTGAGTGTGCTTGGAGAGTGCTGTCGGACTTAATTCCCGTGGTTTAATTTTGCATTTTGGCAATGTTTAAAGCAAATGCAGGTACTTCTGCCAAATAGGAACTTAAATTATGTGGGCAGAGGATAAAAACTAAGATAATGTGGATGCGTGGGATTGCAGTGTTTGATTCAAAGGATTGGGAAATGCCCCCTTTCACATAAAATGTCCACATTTTGTGTAAAGTAGTGATGTATGAAGTAAATAGTGCTGTATAAGTGCTTTCATTATTTTCTGGGAACCAGTGAAAATACTCTTGTAAAAAGATTGCACTCTTTTTTTTCCATGTAGTCACACTGATCTTGTCCAAAAAGTAGGACATGATTTAAAAATATGGCAGAATAACTTTAGGTGCCTGAAAGCATTCTTTTCAAGAATGGATTTCTGTACAATTATTGTGTAGAATATGTTCACAAAGGTTGCTTATCCTGAGGATAAATGATTTTTCCTATCCTCAGTTTTTGTGAAGCAGAAACCCTCTTAATCAGTAGGACTGTTGACCCATGTCTCCTTTTCCACTGTAGGAAGTAGCTGTGAAGTTAGAGTCACAGAAGGCCAGGCATCCCCAGCTGTTATATGAAAGCAAACTATACAAGATTCTGCAAGGGGGAGTTGGCATCCCTCACATAAGGTAAGAACCATAGCTTTAGGCAGGTAGAATATTTACTATCACTTTTCTCTCAAAGGATCAGTTTATTTTGTTCTGCATTAGAGGAAGTGTTATATGTTACTGAGTGTTGTGATAAACTACACATATAAAAGAAGTTGAGGGCTCCTTTTCTTTTGGCTGCTTCATATGCCCCCAAGTTTCACATGAATTCTCTGATCATTCTCTGAAATACAAGGGGTAGCTGGCAACTCCTGGGATGTACCAATGGAAATGGCTGCTCTCTTTTGTGTTTTTGTTCCAACATGTCTTCCTCCTTTGCTCAGAAAATGGCGGATGTCAGTACTTGAACATTCCTGAGAAGTAGGGAATGTTGTTTCTTTCTATTCCCTTCTAATATTAATGTAATATTCAGGAAAAAAATTGGGCTTGTGAGGACCAGGGAGAGGAGATACGTGGAAGCCCCTTTCTGTTACTGAGAACACATACATCACTGAACTAATTATACACTCTTGCTGAAGCAGCTGCTTTCTTTTTGCTCTTTGAAGCTCAGCACTTTTCTGGAATTTTATGGTGAGTTATATTTGAATGCTTGATTTTGGAAATGGGAAAATTTAGTATCTAGACAAGACAGGAAATGCATTAAAGATTCAAGGAATATTTTCATATAAAAACACTTTATAACATCTAAAAGTTCTACAACAACTGTTGATATGTGCCATAGATATCTGAAAAGAAATGTTTAGTGTTAGTATTGAATATTGCTAGTATTAAATTACAGCATGGAAGTATGCAGATTGTTAAACTGCAAATTTACTTTTTAAAAATCTTTGTGGAAGAGCTCTTCTGTTTCTCTTATAGATATTGCACTGTGTTATCTGCCATTTATACCTAAGCTTTTGTTTGTGCTGGCAAAAGTTGATTTTTAAAGTTACTACTTATAGTTATTCTGAATTAATTTTCTATGTATAAATAACTTTTGTCATTTTAAACTACAACAATAGGAAATGATGTCTTTGCTATGAGAGGAGGCTGTATAATTGTGAAATTCATAAACTGCAAGGAAGTATTATGACATAAAGCTGCGTCTTTTACAGAATGGATATGGGATTATTTGATGACGCATTTACATGAAGCAACTACTCCCTCCCTTATCCCAGCTGTAATTAACACTATTTAATTGTGATGATAAAATTGTGTGTATTGTGTAATAGATTTTTCTGTTCTGTCTTTTGTTTTTAACTTTGACAAAATGCTCTGTTCAGGCTTGTCCTGTGTTAGGCATACTTATCATATACAGTTGGGTGATTTTGCTTAAAAATCAGTTTGGAGTTGCAGTACAGAGTTTACAAGAAACAGTGCAGAGGCATTTAAACCATTTAGATATCCTGAATTTTTTATGTGTGGTACATAATTTAAGGCAATTGATATTTAAGTGCTTATATAAGTAAAATTAATAGAATGAAATAGAGTACACTCTGTATATCATATACAAAATATGCTTTGGTTAATTTAATACTTTTCATGTTTTCATTAATAAATTTTCTGGAACAAAGCATTACTTTTGAGAAAGGATGTACAAAATAGTTTAGACTCAGAACACATTTGTTCACTAAGTTGTGGTTCAAACACAAAACAAAACATGGCTGTTTTGAGTGGAAAATGTCTTGCCATTTAGAATGGAGTGTTATACTTTGAATTTTCCTTTCTAGGCTGGTAGAGCAGGAAGGACCTGTTGTGCCCCTATTACTATTGGCTTAGACTGGGTAGGGTGATTTGGAGGTGAAGTTTTTGAACAAAGCAACAGGCATTTTAAGGAACTTATTTGTCCAACTGCCTAGCATGGAAACCACTGCTTTTTTTGGGTAAAGATTCCTGTAGGGAAGTTGGACTTCTGTAGCTTTGTTACATGTGTAACCTCCTTTAGAAAAGCAGGTGGAATGTAAATGCAAAAAGTATTAGTATAATATAGGTTTGATTGGCCCACTGATTTGTGTAGCTGTTTGAACATAGGCTCAAAAATATAGTTTTTGTTTATGACAGCATTTTAAAAAGCAAAAGGGGAAGCTCTGGTTAATTGGCTTGCTGATCTTTTATCTTCATCATTACACTCTGTAGTCTCTTTTGCCTCTTTGTGGTGATTTCAAATGTTTTTAAAAATGCGAAATACTGTTTGATGTGATGTGCACTCTGTTTATGCTCTTGTGCAATATTGATTTAGTAAGTGGTGCATTTTGCTATAAAGGGATGTTCAAACTTGTAGATTTGACTGTTTGCTGTTCTGTCCCCTTTAACTATTCAAGCGTAAAAACAAGAGTTCCTTTGCTCAGCAAGTATGTGTATATGACTTCATGATTATATTTATTTTTTGAGTGCTTCTGAGGATATAAATGCAATTTACTTTTAAGGTGCACGTGTTGGCAACCAGGCAGAGCAGTTTGTATGTGTGTATGTTTCTCAGGGTGGGGCCTCTTTACTGGCCAGCAGTTCCCTCCCTCCCTCTAATGTTCTAGTTCTACCTGGTAGAAACTGCAGTTGTTTTTGTTTTTGTTGTTTGTTTTATCAGCTTGCCAGGTGCTGGGAAGTAAAAGGAGGTAATCTGTAGGTGAACCTTTAAATAGTGGAGTGGAAGAATGTTCCTGATTTTGGGGGTGTGGGTAGGTTTAGGTATACACAATTTAGATTAAGAAGGGGGTTATTTTGAAGCAAACCCAATTTGGGTTACTGGAGTAGCCTTCATTTTCTGCATGAATTTCCTCCTGCCTTGGAGGAGATAATTGATTTGAAGAGGGATTTGATGTGGGAGATTAAGGTCTATGATGATGGTGGTTACTTTTAGCATTTGTCCTGCTTGGTTGCAGGGTCCACTTGGTCGCTCTGTGTTTGTTCACATGACGAAGCCATCAGTGCATGAGTAGATGAAGGGTTTGCTTTTCTGCCAGCTTGTCACAGAGCTGGTGCTGTTTGGGGACTGCGAGAGAGTGTCCAGCCCAAGGTCACCCAGCTGGTTTTTGTGCCTAAGGGAAGAATAGAATTTGGATCTCCACTCCTAATCCAGGTCTTAACCACTATTGGCTCTCCGAGTAAGGTCTGTGGTGTTTTTGCTTTTAAAGAGAGGGAGACTGGTAATTACTCTTTACATTCCTTTCTTTAAGCATCTTCCAAAGACAAGAAGGATGCACTTGTACTTGAATTCTTGGAAGGCAGCATAGAAGGAGGATGAAACAAATACTTCCATAATGGGAATTTTCGAAAAATTGTTAAATATTTCTCTGCCAATTTTTCTGCAAGCTGGCTTGCTGATAGCACTCAATATGAACTGCTACTTTATCTAGTCTTGTGATCCTGAGGTGAAAAGAAGGGAGCTGGAGACTTTTTTTTTGAGTTCCTATTATTTCATATGGCTGAAACAGTCAAAGTAAAATATGGGATGGTTTGATGAAATACAGTACTTAAACTAGTTCTAGCTTTGTTTTGTCAGATCACTTCAATTGATCAGTAAGGATGAGATACTGTTTTAAGTACTTCTAGTCT